AAAAAAAAAAAAAAAAAAAAAAAAAATGCCAGCAACATAATGCACAAATACTGAGGCCTTCCTTCCCCCTGTCCCTGTGATCCTACGCCAATGTAACTATATCACGAGGTAACCAACGAGGCCTTGTAACTGCAGTGAATTCTATGCTGCGGACTCCCTGCCCCTTGCTGAGGCTGTGGTAGGTGCAGGCATCTACCTGCACAAAACCCACTGCACAAAAGAAGAGCCTAGCAGAGGAAAGACTTCAACTGGTGGGCAACGGTGGTACAGAAAGCCTCAGAAAGCTGCTTTAAATGTTGTCAGGATCTTGCTTAAATTGACTGCCATCAAGTGACAGGGTGCTCATCGGGGTTCCTCTTTTTGGACCATTGACTTGGGGCTCTGCAAGGACAGCTGTGGCCTTGTCCACCCTAAAGTTGCTGAAGCTCCTTGGTGTGGCCACAACGCTCCGACAACTGCTGAATTTGAACAGGAGCCAAATGAACGAGCCCCCAGGGAGATGGAGACCTGACTGTCAGTCAAGGAACAGCCCGGGCGGACATGACGATGTCACGTTACGTAATCGCCGTCAGCAGCTACACGATGGAACGACAGCAGCGCTGAGGGTGGGACGTACCTGGATGCCCAGGTGCTGGGTGGCCAGCGGAGGCAGTTTGCTGTAGATCATCTCTGTAACACACGAGGACACAAGGCTCTGGGTTTTCATGAGCACTGCTTACTGCAGCCTCTTCGATCCCCCTCCCCCCTTGTCCCTTCCCCCCTCCCCCGCACAGTGCCAGGCACATGGCGAGGCCCCGCCCGGCTCCGAGCGGAGCGGCTCTTTCCAGTCAATTCCGTGGGAACGGGCCCAAGCCCCCGCACGCTCACTCTCCATCCCGGCGGCAGCCCAACACTTCCGGCGCACTCTGATGAAGTCAAAGCGCAGCGACGCGGCGACGCACGAGAGGAAGCGGGGAGAAGAGGCACCGTCAGGGAGGCGCAGGTGCAGTTGCCCGTTAGGAGGCCACCTCCACGCGCGTGCGCAGAAGTGGAAAAAAAATAAATAAAGAGGTAACTGACATGCGCAGTAGCAGCCCTAGTGAATGCGAGGCGCATGCGCTCAGATGTGGAGGGAGGGGATGCTGGCGCCAGAGCCTCGGCTGTGTTGGGTTCTGTTGTGCGCATGCGTACGCGTAGTGGAGCTGTCGGTCTCCTCTCCACGTGCTGGTCCTGGTTCCAGCCCAGGGCTGGCTTAGCGCCCGTCCAGCCCCTGCCCGCCCCCTGCCCAAAGCCATTCGGAGCAGGACCCCCCCCCCATGCCCCCATGCAGCAGGACCCCCAGCCAGGAGCCTCATTAGCCCTTGGAGGGCTCAGACCCATGAGCCCAGAGCGGGGCCGCTGGGAGCCATCCAGGCTGCAGGCGGGGGTCACCTGTGGACTCCCACGTGTCCCGCGGGAATCCGCGGCGTCGAGAGCTCTCCGTCCAGCCCTGTGTGCTGTGGCCATTCTGTCCAGTGGGCAAGCAGCTCGTCTTGTGTGGCCAAAACACTAGTGAAAACCAAGAGCTGGCGTTGTCCGAGGGGGGCCCTGTGCAGGGGAGCCTGGAGCCTAACAGGCTGGTGATTGCTGCCCTAGAGCAGTGGTTTTCAACATTTTTTCACTCGTGGACCCCTAAAAAGTTTGGCATGGAGGTGCGTCCCCGTTCGGGTATTCACACACTTCTGATTGATCGTAGTCATCTTACACTGACCCCTTAGGCATGGTCTGTGGGCCGAAGGACCACAGGTTGCAAACCACTGTCTTGGAGGGACCCAACGTTTGTGACATTTGAAGTGGCTCCAGTCACAACCTCTGTGCAGGTATGTGTTGTGTGGCTGATTGCTTAAGAGGATTTGGGGCCTTGCAGCATCAGCTTTCTGCCCGTCCTCAAGCTGGGCCCTAGTTGTCCCTGGCCCATTTGTCCTGTGTTCTGGCCCCGTGTCTCTCAGGGCAGTTGCGCTGGCTCCTGCTTTATCTCAGCTCCTCTCCCTTTCGTCCCCATACATGCCATGATGGCCGTGTTGCCGCACCTTCAGCTCCAGGAGCTCTTCCCGGTGGGGGCAGCAAGATGAGCAACTTGAGCTGCTTTCCGCTTCCCCGTCTGCTCTTTTCAGCAGGGCTGTGTGAGGCTTTGGACAGAGCTTTGGGTCCGGAGAAGCTTCGGGGTCCAAGCAGCACGTCCGGGTCGCAGCGCTGCCTTGTTCAGCTTCCCGAAGCGCCTCAGAGCCACCTCCGAGATAGGGTATAATGAGGAAACAATAAAATATCTATAACTTTGTTGTTTTTGGTCCAATTTGGATGAAATCTTCAGGGGAGGTAGACTCTGCAGAGAGGATGAAGTCTGCCAAGTTTCAAGAAGAGTGGTTTGTGGGTTTTGGGGCAACTGTACCCCAAATTGTTGAAAGCAAAAATCCTATCACATCTATGTGTTACAACAGAGCGGGGTGAAAACTGCAGGGCTGGTAGCTCTTGCTGAGGCCACAAAGCCTGCCAAGTTTCAAGATTGGTGCAGAGGGTTGGGGAGAACTGCCCCTCAATCTGCAGACAAGCACAACTGGTGCCATGGGTGCTGTGGGACTGACTGTGTCTGTCCTGGGGCAGGAGGGGAGACACTGCTGCAGGCCTGGCTGCTGAGCTGCTGTGCTCCCAGTTACCAATCAGTCATGATTCACTCAGGGACCAGGGACTCAATACACTAGCTGCTGCATAACGACTTAATGAGCATCTATTAGCACATACAAAACCAGGTTAAGGAGAGGAAAGACTCAATACAGACAATCAACTGCCCCAAGACAGACACAGTCTTGGCAGCAGTTTTGCCTGTCAGCAGCTAGGGGTGCAGGGCCCCAGGACCCCCCTGCACTGATCTCCTCAACAGCTGGCAGGTGTCGCAGCAGGGGCCACCA